AAATTAAAAAATTTAAAACCCTCATTCCGCAAGATGACAAAACTCCTAATATCAAACAGAAGTCAAAAAGTCACAATCAAGAGAAAGATAACAGATTCTTATTAGACATCTATAACAATTACTTGGCAAAAACCTCATTTCCCACGCTTTCAATTAATATAAAGGAACATGTATTTAGAATGACAAACAGATTAGAAGTTGGGAAGAGGAAATACCACAGTTCCTGATACTCCCTAAAATAGAACATGCACACATTCTTCCTGTGAGAATAAAAGTACCTGCATAAAGTACGTATATTTTATTTGCTCATTAGTCTGTCATCGGCCCCAAGGAATTAATGTATGTAGTATCCCTCCCTACCCCCACCCCCCCCAAAAAAAAGGTATCTGAAAATTTAACACCGGCCACTAACAAACCTACTGAAATCAAAGATGAAACCTCTGACTAAATTACTCAGAGATCACTATCATGTCCTGGAAAATTAGGTACGCTTTTAAGGCTTCATACTTTAATCTCATGGAAAAGCAATCAAATGCAACCAACGTAAAGCAATACTTTGAGAGGACGTGCATAACAGATTTGGTAACGTGAAGGGCCAGAGCCAAGATGGAAAGGTCCAGTAAGACTCCTGAATCTAAGTATTTTGACCAAAATCAAGCAGGATTATTTTTTTAACTCTCAGATTACTCATTAATTCAACAAATATTCACAGCCCACCCTGACTGAGGCTGCTCTTGGTGGTGAGAAAGGATGAGGAGCAATCAGACCCTCCCGCCCTTCTGGAGCTTCCAGCAGGTGGAGGACTGCCACCAGCCAAGGCCTCTAGTCCCCGTCTGCAAACATTCCTTCACACGTGCAGATACACAGGGCGCCCAGTGCAGCGCCTGCTCTCTCCTGCCTGCCACTTTCTCCATCTCCTCTCCATCTTAAACCCCAGCTGCAGAGACAGCCCTCTGTTCCTCAGGCAAGAGGCTCAGGCTCCCTGGAGGGCCTCTGCACTTGGCTGTTCCCCCTGCCTGAGCCACTCTCCCTCCGGACATCTAAACACAGCCTTCCCTCCATCAACTCTCTGCTCAAACCTCTCCATCTGAGAGAGAGTTCCAGGACCACTCAATCCAAAACAATGGCCCCCATCCTGCCCCTCTTTACTACAGCCAAGTCTTACTACTTTCCCAGTGCATATCACTCCCTGGTATTGCCACCTTTATCGCTTCTCTGCTTTCTGTTCCTCTCCCCCAGGGAGAGGTGAACCCACTATAGCAGGGTCCGTCCACTCTGTGCAATGCTATACTTGCAGTCCCTATAGAGTTCCCTGCAATGTAACAGATGCTCACGATGCATTTTTCAGGAAAGCAAATATAGGCAGTATTAGCAGTTTTGTACTACAATGGCAGGTGCCACATAATAAAGGGAAAACACCTTAAATGCTAAAAGAGTTAATCAGCATAAAATTATATGCTTAAAGGACTCTTAAAATACTCTGAAAAGATAAACGTAATGAACATATAAAGGTCATCACTGGCTAATATTCGACTTTTATAATGTATCAGGCTCAATTTCCAGGATTAGCATTACTTCTACAACTTACTGTGTTTTAAAAGCACTCTGAGATGTCGATCTTTAATTTAAAAGAGCCAAATATTTTCTGAAAGCATATCCCCCTTTAGGAGTCACTCATAACCTTCTCCTAAGCTGTACAATTTGCAACCATATTATGTAACGACATAACAGTGTAAGATATTGGAGATAATCTATGAAAGGCAGGCATTTTAGTGACTAATGGTGAACAAAAACGGCCTTCATCTTCAATTTAATCAAAGGTACAAGCCTTTTCTCCATGTTCAAAAATATTTACTCTCAAGAATTTTTCTTACAGATTACTCTAAGAAGTTTCCATTTGCTCTTTAATTTCTCAAAACAAGGAAGGTGTTAATCAAGATATATGACTTTAGTTACTGGCCATCATGGCTCAGGCTTCACCACGGAGACATCAAAGATCCTTATGGATCACTATGATATTATACAAAAGCAGATGATACATATTGGAGAGAAGGGGCATTTGTTTCCTGGAATGTGAGGCAAAGAAGTAAGTTACTACTGCCTTCGGGCCTCTGGGAATAACTGAAATCCATTTAAAAACCTTAAAAACTAATGTTTTACGATAATTTTTATAACAAAATATTAGAAACAACCTACATATATCTCAATACAAAAAGGTTAAATAAATTATGGTTCACCCTTGCTTGGAGTACTCTCAGCAGCTCTCCCAGAATGAGACAGCTCTCTTAAGTACTGATAGAGAGACTGCCAAGATTCAGCACTCTAAGGGAAGGGCGGGGAGCTGGTGCAGAGCAGCATATACAATGTGTCCTCGTTTGTGGAAAAACAAATAAAAAGAACACATATGAAATGTTTATACTAGCATAAGCTATATCTGGAAAGATATACACAAGGAACTAGTAACCCTGGTTCCTGGGGAGAACAAGGTGCTGTGTTTCAGAGAGGGGAGAGAGATACACTTTCCACTCCAGAGCTTTTTATATCTATTCAATCTCCTACAAGTGTGCACAGATCGCCTGTCCCACCAATTATTACAATACATTCTAATATCAGAATAATTTATACCATTGCCAACATATGGTTCAAGGATCATCTTCAAAAGTACAAGCTTCCAAAAATGACAAAAGTTGTTCGGTTCGGCAGCCTAGTTCCTGATCCTTAATTCCCAGAAGAGAATCCAAGTCTCCACTAATTAGAGAGGCACGCTTGTGATCTCACCTATTACAAAGCAAATAAGCCTCAATTCGATTCTTGGAAGGGAAATAGCTGCTAAGTTCACCTTGAAAGCATACTTCGCATTTAAATTGAGCTTGTTACTACCTAATGAAGCCTTCAAATTAACACAGTTTCCACCTGGCGGTAAAACAGAAAGTCAATGTAAAAAAACAAGAGGAGAGTCTGGAGTTTCTGAAAACACTAAGGTTTCCCTTCCTCTGCCAGGCTTAGACAAGGAATCCTCTGATATTAGTGAAATAGGATTTCAGATCTGGAGCAAAATAATAATTTTAAGGGGAGGGGCAATCATCGTTTGCACCATACAAACGCTTTATTTAATTCTTCGTTCGTAGGGGATGGGAATTTGCTTCAAATTTAAGATTCCACTGTGGACCTCTGACTCAATGACACTGTCACATTAATTTTATTCCAAACAAAACTTTTAATCAAAGGCAAATCTGAAACTGAAAACAAACACGTCAGAAGACAAGCCTTAAACTGGAACCCTTCTGTTGAAAAATGCCTGTTAAAAAAACACATGAAAAGAAATGCAAAAAATCTCATTTCCATACAAACGCTACTCAGTAATCATACATACACGTTGTATCAACATTTGGCTGCATTAAACACACCCATATGAAGAGGAACACAAAGACACCCAATTGAGAATGAAGATCTCATATACACACACGTTTATAATTTTTTTTGGGGGGGGGCGGGGGGTAGCTGAAGGTGGGGGCCAAAACCACGTTATTCAAGCCCAGAAGTAAGTGCACAGCCGCTTGATAATGCAGTTTTCTGTCGAGAGCTCAGAACCCATCCTTTGAGACAACCTCAGAAGTGGCATCTCTCCTGAAACCCAACTCCGATCGCCGACACTCTTAACTTTGGGTTTTTCGACTTCAGCAAGTCTTCGGACAGAAGCACGCAGAAAACACAGGTAAACCCAATACACACTATACCTAAGGGAGGAAGGGGTTCGAGCAAGAGCTCAAGTACGCTCGGGGTCACGAAGCCAGTCGGTCGCCTCCATCCCCAAAGGAAAATAGGAATTAAAGCTCCTTCCCATCCCCCAGGTAGCCTCGGGTCTCAGAACCCGGCGCCCTCCGTGGGGCGGGGGGCGGGGGGCGGGGGGCGGCGGCCGGAGACTCGGCGCCCTCGGGGACGCGGGGTGGCCCGAGGCGCGCGGAGAGCGGCGCGACCCGGGGCGCCCCCCCGCCCCGCGGACGCCCCCAGACCTGAGCCGGCCGCCCGGAGCGCTGCCCCGCCCGCCCCCGCGCCCCCGCGCGCCCCCGCCTCCCGCACTCACCGGCCGCTCCCGCGCCGCTATCTCGCCATCCCCCGCCGTCCGCTCGGCCGCGCCCGCCGCCGCCGCCGCCCCGGGGCTGCCCGGAGCCCGCAGTCGCCCGGGGACCCGAGGCGGGAGGAGGAGGGGGCCCGGGCACAACCCGCCGCCCCGCCGCCCCCGTCCCAGCGCCGGGCGGGCTGCTCCAGGCGGCCGCGGGGGTCGGGCGGCCCGCTGCCCTCCGCGAGCCCCGGGAGTCGCCGCCGCCGCCGCCGCCGCCGCCAGAGCCGCCAGAGCCCGCCGGAGGCAACGCTAACGGCCACGGCCACGGCCGAGACGCTCCAGCCCGGACTGCGGCGCGCGGGGGCGGTGCCTGCACGCCGCTCGGCGGGGGGCTCCGCGGCCCGGCCCCGCCCCCGGCCCCGCCCCCGGCCCCGGCCCCGGCCCCGCCCCGCGCGCCCCCCGACGGAAGCCGCGCGCGCGCGCCCCCGCCGCCCCCGGCCCCGCCCCCGGCCCCGCCCCCTCCGGCGCGCGCCCCCCGCCCCCGCCAGGCGCGCGCCCCCGCCGCCCCGGCTCCGCCCCCTCCGGCGCGCGCCCCCGCCCCCGCCCCCGCCCCCGCCCGGCGCGCGCGCCCCAGGGGCCGCCCCTGGGAGCCCGAGGAGCGCGGCGGCGCGCGGGGCCCGAGCGCCGGGGGTGGCGCCTCCGCCGAGAGCCGTGTCCGCAGGCGGATCTCGGAAGGTCACGGAGGAGGCCGGGCGGGCCCGGCGCGCGGCGGCCCCCGAAAGCTCCCGGCCAGCGAGCGTTGCGCAGAGGACTGGAAAGCGCGGGGCCGTGCCTCGGCCTCCCCTTGCAGAAACGCGGAAACCAGCTCCCGCGCCTCGGCGAGGGTGGCTATGGTTGCGGGGTGGGGGGGGGCGATTGCTTAGATGTTAGGAGTTACCTAAAAATGCGCGCCCCGGGCTGGGGCCCTGGCGCCCAGGCCACCTTCCTTCTCGGTGCTGCGGGGCTCCCTCCGTCCGAGAGGGCCCGCGGGGGCAGCCTCGGAATATCCTGGAGCCTTCTAGTCTTGCCTCCAAGGCGTGGTGGGCTTATTTGCGCAGAGAAGAAACGGATCCCTTAATGGGGTGAGATTTTTTCCCTCCGTGCATTGTTCCCATTTCCGCAGTTTCACTTGGCCTCGATTTTCTTCCAGAGTAATGCACCAAATGAAATTAGCTGGAGAGCCCTTGATGGCGCAGAATCATGGCTTGAAGATGTTTACACTCCACGCCGGACGCGTTTGATGGTGTTCTCTTCGGCACAATTAATTTTGCAAAGTTCAGAAATGTGCCAGATAGAGCCCCTGGCACGCAGAGTCACAGGGCCCTGCAGACACACCTTCAATAGGAAGCCAGCTTGTTTGTTTCGTTTGTGATTTATTTGATACACCCGCACCAAGGCCGATGTGTTTTCTAGAGACGTTTGGGTGAAATTCTGAAGCAGTTTCTAAATTGGCGAAATGAAGTTTATTTTCTGAAATAACATTTCCCTGTTGATAATGTGACTAAAATGGGCAACAAGACACGTGCAAGAATGTTAATTCAAAGTAACTTCAGAGACAAAAATATGCACTTCACAGTAAGAGGTGGTCCCTATTAGTGTCCTACTGGCCAACTCCATCCACGTGCATGTTTTGAACACAAACTGAATGCTTCCTATTTTGTCCCTAAGATCTTGTCTGGAAAACATGCTTCTACTAAGTGTACCTGAAGCTCTGCTTAAGATGTACACCACTGCTTTTTGTTTACCCCCATTCTTGAGCCCGTGATGGTTTGGGAAATTTATCAGTATTCCATATTGGAGAATCCTCTGTCTTTTCCAATAGGCACAGTGCCTAGGGCCCATAATAGTTTTAGGGGCCCACAAAAATGGCCTAATTTCAAATCAGAAGGGAAGAAATTAACATTGAGGTTTAAGAAAGTATTTCAATATATATTAAAGTGTTTGTCTTTACATTAATACAATGTTAAAATACAATTTTTAATTTTGTTTTAACCGAGGAAGGGATTCAACAAAGGCAAAAGTGCCTAGGGCCCCAAAAATGATGCGGTCCCATTGCCTGGGATTGAAAAAAGTTGCTTTTCATGAAGCAAATTTGCAGTTTTAAGCACGTAAAATGCTAACTTCTGTGACTGCTTTCCAGCTAGGAAGTAAGAAAGAAAAAAAAAAAAAAAAGGAAAGCTAAATGGAGAAAGGAAAACATTTAGGGCAATAATGCTTAACCTAGCATCCATTGGGTATATACACCATGTACCCGGAACTGTCCATTACTCATTTAATCCTCCAGACACACCTGTAAAATCCGTACTGTTATCATACCTAGGCATTGATGCAGGTTTTTGTTAGGCCTGAAATTTATGCAATTGGGGCAGTCCTCTTAAAGAAAAAAAAAAAAAATGCAGCATACTCATCCTGCTGCAGCGACACCCAGCACAAGAGAAAGTGACAGAGGAAAAAACCCTTATGGAAAAGGACCTCAGTCTCAGCTGATTGTCGTTAAAATATCTTACTTTTGCCAAGTGTACAAAAATGTACAACCATGCAAATGTATTGCCAGGGTTCCTGCCGCCGCCTTGAATGGGGGTCTGGAGAAGATGCCTTGAAACTAAGCTTTAATTAGCTTTGCTGAAAACTACCTCTGATGTATACCCAGTTCATAGGGCAAAAAACTTGTGAACTTGCTGCAGCTTCTAAGGATCACCATAGTGCTCACCCCATACCCCCCATACCCGGGTCTGGTTTGAAGAGGCGGGTGTATACACTTCTCACAAGAAAGAATGGATTTTATATTTCCACACCAAGGCAATGGCTTTAAAAATACATTAGCAATATTCTGATTACGACTAGGCCATAATTCAGTTCACTTGATATGATCCTATCTGTGCTGACAGGAGTAAATTTTTAACTATTGTGTAAAAAGATGTATTAACTCCACTGTAGATTCTTAAAGGAATCTCAGCTTAATTTCAAGCTCCATGGATTTCACTGTTTTATGTAGTATTTACTTTTTTTTTCCATTTCCAGAGATGTTGCAAAATAAATATCAAAATAAGAATTTGTTTTGTGCAATGCTTATATCTTACAATATGAAGAACCTGACACATAGTTCTCGCTAAATGTCAAACAAAGGATGAAATAGAAAAGATCATGTAATTAGAAGTAAAAGGGTAGGTTATATTACAAGCTAAAATTAAATGGGAATGAAGTAGCAAGTTGCTAAACTTTAACTTCTTGATGGATAGCAGAATTTAGCTTCTTAGTTATTTTGTGCCCAAGATTTGTGCTCTTCTTTCCAGCTCTTGGCTATTTCCCCTGTTTTTCGGTTTTCTTTCTTTTTTTTTGTAAATAAGATTTCATTTGAAATGCTTAAAATATAAAATAATCTCTATGTGAAACAGAAATCATAATCACACCTGTAATGAAAGTTCTGGAAATGAAAGGTTTTGTTCTTTGAAAGGATCGATCACCCACGAAAGGAGCAACCTTGAGATGATAAGGTTTTATTATTAAACTACTTCCATCTTGGCCCTTAAACTGGCTTCTTTCTTGGGATGTGTGATCTTAACATGTAGAGTGTTTATCAACCAGTGGGATGAGACTTGGCTGTGCTCCTGAAAAAAAATTTGGAACTGAATAGAAATCTACAAATTAAGTATAGTTATTAACTAGTAAATGGTTGAAATGAGTGAAACTGTTCTTTGTCTTAAGCCTGGCTGATAAATGTAGATTTAAATTGGTTTATTTTAGAGCACAGTTTTGGAAAAGATTCAAAACTTTAATTAGATCCCTGTAACAAGAAGACATATGCGAGCAATCAGCTAGTGTTCTTTTCCCAAAGTGGTCTGGAATGCTATTTGAGGGGCATGAAAAATGTTATAAACACCATGAAAGATAGTATCTGCCCAGGATTCCGTTTAGAATATTATCTTTCGGATAAAAAGATTTCAGGGGTGTTGGGTAAACTATTTTGGTAAATTATTATATACCTAGCATAGCCTCAGCAGGATTACATTTTGTTTGTCTTTTGTTTATTTTTATTGTGCCTTCTCCAAAGAGAATTAAGGTGGTTTACAATGAAAGGCAAATATTAAGAAAAAAAAAAAAAGTCAAACTCTGGCTGAGACAGACAATAGCATTTTAGCACAAAACTTAGTTCCAAGGTTCCTCATAGCCAAGTGAAACAGGGGAAATGAAGATTTTCATAACTCTCATTGTCAAATAGAAGGAATCATCCAATTTATTTAGGAGAAAAGTCTCTCCCGGCCCAAGCTCTGAGAGGAATTTGTTATCAGGGTCTTTATATAAGGGATATTTAAAAATCTAAGTTAAGAAGGACACTACACAACAACAGTTTTGGCCATCTTTTGGTGGCAAGCAGAGCTAATATGTATGTATATATATATATATATTCCCCCCCCCCCCCGCTGGTGAATAGCTTTGAAATTGCTATTGTTGAAAATAAGTAGCAAGATGCCCACAGAGTTATTACTATTTTTTATACTGACCTTTGAAGACGAGTCAAGGACGTAATATCAAATCTTGGTTTTCCCAGTTTTCTTCTTTATAAAAAGGAGTTATTAAAAGTACCTGCCTCATAACAGCGGTAGAGGGAACAGATGAGTTAATTTCTATAAAACCACTTACTGCCGTGTTCCTTCTGCTAGTTTTCCTCAGCCAAGATGTGCATATACATAGTTCTTCCTGCCCTTTTATAGTTTATCCGGTACTGTAAACAGCCTCGAGACCCTTTTGGAAGACTATGTTGTCTATATGCCTGACACAGAGTAAGCAATGAACATTAGCTGTGAATATTCTCATTATTACGATTTCTTTTATTCCTCCTAAGTCTATCAAAGCAGATATAAGAGCCTGCTTTGGGGCTAAGTGTGGTTATAAAATCTTGTTATCCTTAGTGGGTAAAAAGCTTAGAGGGTTAGGAGGGGTAGATAGGTATCACTCAGATGCCCATAAAATTATCTTTGTTCTCTTTTATTCCCTTTTACTGTTTGCCCATCATCTCCTGTCCTACATGACTTCACTTAACTATTTGATTTGAGGAGCACTGAGTAAGGGCCCTGTCCCTCAACAGACTTACATTTAGTTAACTCTCTGGATCTGAAGACCTGTCATATTCAAGAACCATGTTAAATTTCTTATACCTCTGAGAGGTTAAATGCCCCAAGCTGTGAAGGCTAACCCCCAGAGTCAGAACCTCAGAAGGGTGAATCCCAGGGATGGAGAGAGACCTGTGCAAGGAGAAGGGGGCACCCTTAGCAAACCCTTCTTTCTGGAATAAACCCTGCCTGTCCCCTCTGCTCTGTGCCCTCTGCATATGTCCCAATTGACTCTAAGAATCTTCCTTTCTAATCGTTGTACTTCATCTCTGTAAACTCCACCCTGCCTTTCAGATCTTCTCTTTCCATGTCTACTCACGTGATCTTATGATCCTCCATCCCCTCACCCTTTATCTCTTCTTTCTGCCTTAGTGAATCCTCATCTCTGGCCCTGTTTTTCTCTTTCTTCTGCTGTATTCTTTATCTGTTGTCTCAAGTCATTGTGGGGCAAAGCAAGACACTAAAATTCATGCTACCTTATTCCATATAGTCTGTCATAGTCCCAGAATCTTGTGCTAGTATTTTCAGTTGAGCTAATGGATCCCACAAAAGAGCAATTTACTCCATGCTCAGTGGCAATATTAAGCCCATTATTTAATTTCTTCCTACAGCTACTGCATTCACTGTGTTGCCAGAGGCCTCTTGCACAGATGGAGAAAGAAGCCAAAAGATTAAGGAATTGAGCTGAGGTCAAAGCCAGAGGTAGTGGAGTGGTTCGAAATTGGACCCAAATTCCTTAAATCCTTGAATATATTATTCTAACTAATGCACTTAATCCACAGACTTCAATGGTCTGTGCAAAACCAAAAATGTAAAACCAAAAGAAAGTTTTTGTTTCCAGTTTCTGACTGTGAAGAATTTTCAATGGTTACACATTTGCCAACAGATTTAATTCAAGGTCTCTAACACATTGGAAAATAATGAGTCAGTTAAATAATTAATTTCGGCAACGTCCCTAGGGTTGCCTTCAGATACCTAATCTGGTACACTGCTCGGGGCCTCATATTGGAAAACAAAAGTGGCCATCCCTTGGCAGCTCTGGTCAACAGGGACATTTCTGTTGATGATTTGCCTACTGGAACCCGAGGTAACGGAGGACACTACCCTCAAAGGAAAAAGTCAGCAACTC